ATTATTTTTTGACAAAAATACCCTCTATCATTCCCGTCTTTGTCGTCTCTCCCTCTTTCTCCACCCTCGCCTTTCACGTCTCTGCCACTGCCCTCTGCCAGCCTCCTCCATCGGGCTTCCCACAACCACACCCAGGCACCAATAGCGATGCCGGAACTAGGAAGATGAATAAGAAAGGAAACACAAGGGAAGTTTAATGAGCAGATCTAGAGATATGGAGTCGTGAGCCTAAATCTTTCACCTAGATCTGGACTACCTGTTAACCACCATCGACAATGCAGAGACTCGAGTGAAGGACAACTGTAGCAGTGTCGAGCCAAAAGCATGGGTGTGAGAGAGAGACTATGGGCGTGAGGAACGAAGCTATGAAGGGGGAAGATGAGGAAGATGGAGCAAACGCAAGTTGAAGCCACAAAGGAGGAAGATGATGGTAGTTGGGTCTTTGAGCTAGTTTTTGTTGCTTATTATTATTTTTGAATCTCACGTACTAAACATGAATTTAAATCCTTATTTTCAGTTCCAATCCCATTACCAATTCCATTCTCAATCCTACAAAATTCAATACTTTGTACTCAAGGCATAGTTTATGAGCAAATTTGTCATTCAACCTTATATATAAAGCCCTATTCTCATAATCCTATTTAAACTATACTACGGTAATCCTAAAAGATAGGATAATTTTTATTCAAATAAAGATAATATAATCTTAAAACAAATTAAATCCTAAACTTTAAATTAAAAATTAAAAAAGGGATAAATCTTAGTCAATCCCAATCCAACTAAAATCTAATAATTCTTAATAAATATCATATCCTAGATTTTCAAATTTCCATCAGGCAATTTAGTCACTTGGAGAAGTAAGAAACATAATGGGGAGGCAAGGAGTAGCACAACGAGCTGTGAGACCCAGGGAATATGTGAAGGTCTTTGATTATAAAGGATACTGGTTTTACAAACAAGTTCAAATTCATCTCCCTAATAGGTTTTATTTTGACAATTAAGTAGCTATTAATATTTCTCTTAATTTGGTGCAGCATAAGAAAACTAATCATTAAAGGTGGAGACTAATGGAACCCTCTACTCTATTAAGCTAAAAGAAGCAAAACTAGAAAATACACTGTAAATGAATAACATTACATTGCTGAATAATAGAGTGGGATTACAATCAAAATAAAGACTGAAACTACACTCAGATGGCATTATAGAGCATGAAACAAAGTAAACTACACCTTTGGAGCAGCAACACGAACACTGGTCTCACCAAATACAAACTGAAGTGAAGTAGAAAGATAAAATGATAAAGAAAAGATGATCTTCTCTACCCCTAATTTGGCATTCGAGAGGCTAAAAACTCTTCTCACATGCCCACAATTCTCCAACAGTCCTCTCCATCCCTTATCACAGAAGTACATATTTAAAGAGTCAAAAAGTAGTCATTACCCCTACTACACACTACCCATATCCTAGGCTACACCTAACCTGACTTTTCTTTTATCATTTGAATCTTACAATTATAAACCTTCAAATAAACATCTCTGACCACTGGTCTTAGTCTTCTCTAAATCACCTCCCTTCCTAGATTGTCTACTGTAAGCCTTAGGAATGACAGGAAAATCTTTTGGGAATCACCAGCTCTATCAAAGACATTTTACCAAAGAGAAGGACAAGGCAGGAACTATTTGCATGACCTATGTTCTTGCAAGAAACCATAAAGCAAACATCTTTACTGCAAAGAAGTAATGGTCCAACCTAGTGACTTCAAAGTCCATCATACCCTCTATGTCTCACACTCTCACTTCTAAGGCCTTCGTTGACACAACAATAGAACCTAGACATCCTCTTAAGATTGGCTAGCTCAACCTGAGCACCAAATTTCTGAGAGGATACTGCAAAGAAGGATGATAAAAAAGAGAAGTACACAAATGACAGAAGTAATGGTCCAATATAAGGATTTTCCTGATGAAGAAGCAACAAGGGACCAACTTTATGATTTGCAATCAATGTCCTAGAATTTTGCTCCTCTGACATTTGCCACCATTGACAATTTTTTTCCTTTTTAAAGGCAGGGTATGGCAGGAAGTATTGTTGGCTTGACAAGGATGCATTAGGGATAACAAATGGTAGTCAGTTCCATTATTTCTCTCATTCTTGTTTACAGTACAGAAGGTTAGTTAAGAGTATATAAACTAACCAATATCAACTTTACACAAGACTTACGACAGTTTATGGCATTGCATTTCCTCTAGTTTCTTCTTCTCATGCTTCCCCTTCTATCACAATGCTAGTTGTACTCGCATAAACTTTCAGTGTCAAAATTAAAAATTACAGTCTGCATGGATGTGCGGACATACACGTAAAGATAAAATTCAAAATGAGCACATACGTGAAAAAGTGAGGGTGGGCACCTATTGAGGAAAAATGGTAGAAAATCGGTTGTTTGAGATGGTTGGGCATGTACAAAGAAGACCAAAGGAGGCACCAGTGAGAAGAGTGGAACATATAACTTTGAGTCCGATTAAGAGAGGTAGAGGAAGGCCTAAGAGAACACACTTGGAAGTTGTTGAACGTGATCTCTTAATTAATAATATTTCTAAAAGCTTAATAATGATAGAGCACAATGGCGTCTTGCAATCCATGTAGCCGACCCCACCTAGTGGGATAAAGGCTTGTTGTTGTTGTTGTTGTTGTTGTACAGTCTGCATGAGATACTTGAAAAGGCATAGATAAATGTTTCAATTCTTAAGCATAAATGGAAACAATTCTCTTTGGCAAGTCTGTCCAACATCAAATAATATGACTATAAGGACTATTGTAGTTGAATTTCCAAACAATAAGAAATATACTTCGAAAAATTTTATCCAATTTTTTTCCCAATACTTTTGAACATAATGTGGAATATTTGGGAAAAAAAATCCTCATTTTTCTAAAAAGCAAGTTAACTGAAATATGTACACAAAGGGAAAAGACATAGAATAAAGCCTAATAAATTATAATAATTACTTTACAATTACCTCCTAGTCATTAATCCTATCTTAGAGAATATTTAAAATAAAACAAAGATACTTCCACACATAAATTTACCTTAAAATCCTGTCATTTACAGGCATGCTCCGACATATAAATTTACCTTAAAATCCTGTCATTTACAGGCATGCTTTTGTCATTAAGGCGATTTTTTTTTACTGCATACTGCCTTCCGTCAAGTTTGTTTCTGCACAACACAACATGACCAAAACCACCATGACCTGTTCACAGTGCCAATTAACACATTTCAGCAAAGATTAAACCAATTAACAGACCTAGTTAATAGCATTAGAATATTCTATGAAATACTTTGTCATGTATCTCAAGAATATCCAAGTTAAGTCTTGCATGTAAAAGAAAACCAAAAAGAAGAGGTGAATTATTTGGATAGAGGAGCATTCTTGAAATTGTAATCCAAAAAGATTCAAAACATGGCTCAATCATATCAATAAATAGCTTGAACAACAAAACTCAAAAAACAATAATAGTCAAACAACTACCTAGTGTGTTCAGATGAAGGTCCAAATAAGACAAGGCTGGCATGGTGTTCAATTTTCTAGCTAAATTCAACTTGCAAAAGCTTCCCTTTGTTCATTTAAGAATGGAAAATAGTAATTGAGTACAGCCTTCTGATCCTTCAAGGATCATGGGATTCATCATCAAACGTCCAGTGTTAACACTCCACAACAAAATAGAGTTGTGAAAAGGAAAAACAAGCATTTGTTGGAGGTAGCAAGAGCTATTATGATGACTAGTAATGTTCTAGCCACTTATTGGAGAGATGCAGTTTGCAAGTAAACTCAATGAAGAGCACCTTGCAGATGTCTGTAGAATCTTGTAAAATTTATCCCAAGAAAGGGTCTAAACTTCAAAAAAAGGGCACATAGGGAGTTCAAGCATATTTAGATGCTGATTAGGAAGGTTTTGTTACAGATAGAAGGCTAACCATTGGATATTGCACATTTGTTTAGGGAAACTTGATGACATAAAGAAGCAGTACGTAAAATATCTTAATTTTCCTATTGTTATCATCAACGCTTGCCCTCTTCTTCCTTCATTTGTGCATGATTAAAGACTATTGGACGCATGGTACTCTATCAGATATACACAATTTTTCAAATATACTAGAATTTAAAGCATAAGAAACCATTGCCCTAGCATCTAGTAGAAATGTAGCTCAATCAGTTCGCTTAAAAATTATGTCAACTTTACCAGAAAGGGAACATAAGCTATCCGTAAACTATTAACAGGCTTGAAGATAAGGTAGTCACATGTACAAGTGCTGAAGCTGAGTTTCGAGCTTTTTTCAGCATAGGGAATTTGGTTAACTCGATTGCCTTTAGAGCTGAAAATATGTTAAGAAGGGCCAATAAAAGTTTTCAATGATAATATGGCAACCAATGGGATAGTAAAATATCCTATCCACGATCGAACAAAATATATGGAAATTGATCATACTTTATTGAAGAAAAAATAGAAATGGAACTGTATAAATTATACACCAATCAACAAATAACCCTACTTTTCCCATCAACATCTCCAACCTTAGTCTTCTTCTTCCTTTAGCTGTGCATGATTATGATGCATAATAATTAGAGAAAAGGGAAGGAAAGAGAGGAAATAGAGGAAACAGAGAGAGAAAGAGACTAGAGAGGAAGATAGAAACAAGGAACTTAAGTCTATTATTTCCAGAACTGATTATAACGGTCTTTTTGGTGTCCTTTTATAGCCCATACCTGACATCCTTAAGTAACTATCCTAACAACCTATTAACCCTTTAACTAATATTATTTATTTATTTATTACATAACAAATTAAGGACTACTGGACAGATGGCACTCTATCAAATATACACTATATCTCGAATATACTAGAATTTAAGGCATAAGAAAGCATTGCACAAGCATATGGTGAAAAAGTAGCTCAATTAGTTCACTTAAAAATTATGTCAGTCGTCAACTATTAATTTAGCGATTGAGAGAGAGAGAGAGAGAAATATGAAACGCAGTTAGTGTGTAATAATGATCTACTGGTCAGTCATATATATAGGGCATGTGCAAACAAAGTAGTAAATGAAGGAGTTAATAACATGCACCTAACAAGCACTCTAGGAATATACAAAGAATGTAAAGAATAAATATAACTAATTCTCAACACTCCCCCTCAAGCTGGTGTGCATAAATCATATGCACCAAGCTTGTTACAAATGTACTTTATTCGAGGTCCCCAAAGAGCTTTGGTTAATATGTCTGCTAGTTGATCATTAGAACTTACATATTTTGTAGCAAGACATCCTAATTGAATCTTCTCTCATACAAAATGGCAATCAAGCTCAATGTATTTAGTCCTCTCATAAAACACTACGTTAAGGCTATATGTATTGCAGCCTGATTATCAAAGATCAAATCCATTCTAGTAATATTCCCACATTTCAATTCTTGAAGAAGTTGCATTAACCAAATAAGCTCACATGTAGCTAAGGCCATGGCACGATATTCTGCTTCAACACTAGACCTTGCAACAACATTTTGTTTCTTGCTCTTCTAGGAAATTAGATTTCTGCCAATAAATACACAATATCCTAAAGTAGAACATCAATCAATTAAGTATCCAGCCCAGCCTACATCGCTATACCCAATAATTTAAGTATCATATTGGGCGTCATCCTTATCACTATAACCATAGCCAATTATTTGAGAATTCCCCTTGTCTTCATATAAGAGTCCTTCGCCTGGGGATCCATCCTTAATGTATATAAGAATTCAAGCTACAACTTCCTAGTGGCTATGTCATGGAGAATCCAAGAACTAACTTACCACCCTTATAGGAAAAGAGATATCGAGACAAGTAAGAGTGAGGTAGTTGAGTTTTCCAACCAATCTTCGATATCTTTTTAGGTTTGCAAGAGGCTCCTCCTGTCCTGGCAGAAGTTTGACATTTGGATCCATAGGAGTGTCAACTGGATGATAATCCATCATCCCTGTCTCTTTTAGAATATCAAGAACATACTTTCATTGTGATATAACTCTATCTGATGATTGAGCTACCTCAATGCCAAAAAAATACTCGAGCTTACCCAAATCCTTTGTTTAAAAGGATGTCATCAGATGACGCTTGAGTTTAGAGATCCCATCCTAATCATTGCCTGTAATAAAAATGCTATCCACATAAATAACTAGATAAATGCATTGACCAGATGGTGAGTGATGATATAATGTAGAGTGATCTACAACACTGCAGATCATTCCATACTCTTGAAGAGCCATACTGAAATTGCTAAACCAAGCAAAAGGAGATTGTTTAGTTCATAAAGGGATTTACGCAGCCTACAAACCTTCCCAGATTCCCCCTTAACAACAAATCTTAAGAGGTTGCTCCATATACACCTTTTCCTCTAACTCTCCATGGAGAAAACCATTTTTCATGTCAAGCTAGTAGAGAGTCCACTGATTAATGGCAACAATGGCCAAGAGTAATCGAACAAATGCAATTTTGGCAACCATAGAAAAAGTGTAGTCATAGTCAACGCCAAAAATCTAGGTATAGCTCTAGGCAACTAAGCTTTTAGTGAATCAAAAGAACCATCAAGAGCAAACTTGATAGTAAACACCCATTTACAACCAACTAATGACTTTCCAAGAGGTAAAGCAACCAGATCCCAAGTATGATTAGTAGGAGAGCAACCACCTCATCAAGCATTGCCTATCACTACCCAATGGGAAAGTACCTTACTAACATTCCTAGGAATGGTAAAGACACAAAAGCAGTATATGATGTAGATATACAATGATAGCTCAAAAAATTATAAATAGGATGAGGATTACAAGTAGAACAAGTACCCTTATCAAGAGCAATAAGGGCATCATCAAAAGGATGTAGGATCTGAGCAGGAGCTAATACTGGAGTATAAGGCAAGTCCACAAGTATTTCACTAGGGCTAGCCAAGGAGGAAGGGTGAGCGCAACAATGGTATGTTTGAGTGATGGATGGTTTGTTTATAGCAAGCGGATCAAGGTAAGAGGAAGGACCTTAGACATAGATTGTTCAAAGTCAGAGGAGAGAAAAAAAAGAGAGGTCTCAAAGAAGGCGATATCAACAGGGGTAATGTACTCGTTAATGGTAGGAGAGAAACAACAATAACCTTTTGGACCCGAAAGTATCCAAAAAAAAACACATGATAGCTTTGGCAGCAAGTTTGTCATGCTAGGGGTCAAATCATGGACAAAGCAAGTACAGCGAAAAACAGAAGGAGGAAGCGGATAAAGAGGTGCAGAAGGAAACAAAATAGAGTAAAGAATCTCATTGTGTAAAATAGGCGAAGGCATGTAGTTAATCAAATAACAAGCATTGAGAACAGCATTGCCCCAAAAACGGTGTGGCATTTTAGAATCAAGAAGAGTGTGAGCGGTTTCAATAAGATGCCAATTGTTTCTTTTAGCATGCCATACCATTTTGTTAGGATGTATATGCACATGAAGACTAATGTAGAAAACCCTGAGAAGATAAATAATGGAGAAATGGGGTAGAAAAATACTCCTTTGCATTATCTCTTTGTAATATAGGTATTGAAGTACCAAACTGATTTTAATTTCAGTATAGAAGGATTGAAACAAAGAGAGCACTTTTAATTTCAATAACAAGTGTGAGCTCTTCATTAATGTCCTCAGCATCCATCTCCAACAACATCACTTGAAGATGTTTGTTTTGCAGACATAGATGGGGCCAATTTTTTTAGCACACTTAAAACATAACCCTAATTCTCGTAGTTAAGCAATCTCAGCGTTAGACAACCTACAAGATGCTCCTCCCTTACACGCCAAGCTCATCCCCGAAGTGTTACTACTTGTTTTCAAGTCTCTCTGTTTTGTCTTTGGTTTCTTGGAATTTTCTGCATGCGATGTCATAGAGAAGGTACTCGTCCCTTTACTTGACTCTAGCACATGTGAGACCCTTAGAAGATAAGGTTGGGCCAAAAAGAACTTAGGCCTATTAGGGAAATGTTAGGCTCGTGAAACCTTAAGACTCTTCTCTTCCTATAACTTGTGACTGTTGTCGTCGCACATGGTAGCTTCCATGACTTGCTGTAAAGTCGAAGCATGCCAGAGCTTTAATTCTGCTCTAACTTCAACCTTCAAGCCAAAACGAGAAGCACCGATTAGACATTCTTCAAACACTTCTCTTAACAGTGCAAACCTCTTGAACTCCTCCATATACTCAAGCACAGAACCTCCTTACTTGGCTGCGAATATGTCTCATATTCACCCCTAAGTTGAGTAGAATGATAATGGCACAATTGCTCTTTTCTAAATTTAGACTAGCTGCATAATGAGGTTCTAGTATCTAACCATAGGTACCAACTCAAGGCCTTTCCTTCAAGACAAACCACTGTGACATCTAACTTCTCATCTTCAATCAAGGAGTTGATGTGGCAGTATCTTTCAACATGAAAGAGCTAACCAAATGGGCCCTCCCCTGCAAAGACAGGTAATTCCAATCTCTTGAACCTTCCAAATTTATGAGACTCCTTCTTTGTGAGAAGTTTCCTCACCATGTGCATACTCTACCAAAGTCTTTTGCATCTATCCCAGGTTCGCGTCTATCCTTTGTATCATTTCTCTAAGAATACTCATGCCTTTGGTAAACCTTCCAACTGTTTCCTTCAATTCTTATACTTCCAGGTTAGCACATTGCACTTGTTCTGCCATTCTTCTTAACTCAATGCCCTAAGATTGTACTACTCTGATACCAATTGATATAACCCTGCTCTAAACAATAAAGCAAGCAAGCAATAAATGAGAGAAATTCTAGGGTTTTGCTGTCAATGAACACAGATGATTGAATCAGTGTTATAAAAGGAACTTCATTAATTCTAGCCAAAACCTTATTCCCCAATGATAAACAAAATATAGAGAAGCATAAATCATAAACATAGATTAGGTCCCTCACTACTGTTTGAGAGACCAGCACTCTCCTCACAACTATCTTCTCTCTAAAACATTGTTCGAGTGCTCAACAAAACATAACAAAATATTAATGCAAGCCAAAAGGTGACTCTAGCATCTAAGCTGAGCCTACAACCACACTACACACATTATTACTTACTCCTTATAATCACAACCGTTAAGATAATTACCTTGATCTACTGGATCTTTCTTCTTTGCCCCTTGTTTCCCCCTTATTTTCCTCTCATAAGTTTTCCTAAACTTCCCAATCTTATGAGAACCACAACCCTAAAAATTCAAAATAATGGCTCTAATATCATGTTAATTTAGATATTATGACAGAGAAAGAAATTTGAAATGTAGTCAGTATGTGATATTGATCTACTAGCCAGTCATATATACAAGGTATGTACAAATAAAGCAATAAATGAGAGAGTTAATAACATACACCTAACAACTACTCTAGGAATATACAAAGAATATAAAGAATAAATATAACTAATTCTCAACTTAACCAAAAGAGAACAAAAGCTATCAATATGAAAAACTCAAATAGAAATACATCAAGTTTTTCTTTTCTTTTTCTTTTTTTTACCAAGAGGCCGTAGCTCCTCAAAGTCATTCAAATATCGAGAACTTATGGGAACCATAGCTGGGCCTCCAAGAACAGAAGGTTTCCAAAACTGCGATATTTTGGATGATACCTGGATGAAAATAACAAGTTACTGATGAGAAATAAGGACAATTATGTGTGTAATGTGGAGAAGCGTGATTACACACCAGTTGTTTCTGGAAAACATGATCAAAGGTTATGTTAAAATGAGAAGGTGGTTCAGACGCCATATGCCTTGCCCAATCAGAAATGACCTAAGAATAGAACTCAAAAGTATTAAGGTCATTCTACAATAAGAGTTCTCCAGCATTGAGTCAACTTATAATTTATACCCCTAAATTGTATAGCTCAGTAGCTATTTGTGGCAAAGAGTTAGCCAAAGGACTTTTTGAGGAACAAGCAAGGCGAAGCAAGTGAACCTAGTCCAAAATATAGCACATGGTCAATGTTTGATGAAATACAAATGTGACAAAAACAATACAAAAATTCAACATTACCATTATCATATCCCTTTCATCTATTTGAAGTTCTTGATTATGAGTCATGGATGAAGAAGATTGGGACCCTGAAGATGGAGTTGCATAAATACCTTCTTCATTATCCTCTGATGTATACTCATCAAGGATAAAATCTTGCTGAAGCAATAAATATTTATGTTGTTAAGAGAAATCGAAAGACCATCGTACCACTTTTTAAAAGAAAAGAACTACCTCAAATGGATGCAAGCCATGTCATATTGATACCAACTAAATAACAGAATTCATATAATTCAATGGAACATGAATACTCTGTTGTCCACCCAACCTCAAACCAATTCACAAAATAAACAACCATCTTGACATGTCTTAATAATTAATATAATGGAATCTTAGATGACAAAGAAACAAACTAGCCAAGTAAGGCTCTTCTCATCACGATTGATGAACAAGCTACTATTAGATCTTGAAATGGGATTACATATTACACGCACAGATTATATATTATAAACTTTAATATGATAATTAAAACCATTATAATATGTTCATCAAAATTCTATTGCATAATGGTTTCAAATATCAAATTTAAAGATACTCTACAAATGAGCTCTAAAATCTTCTAAATTACCTAATTTGCATCGTCAATTCATATTCCTCATTTTAAATTACAATTCAACGCTCTGTAGCCTTTCTTGAGTCTTTTATCACTATTACAAATTTACTTAGAATTCATATTTTCAATTTTCTCTTTAGAATTAATGGGCTTAAGCCCTTGACCATAAGCCAATTTCTAATAAAGGAGAACAAGTAAACAAAAACCCTAAATTTATTGAGAAATCCCCACCCTTTATAGCTAATGTCACAACTAGAACCTGTAAGGAAATTACCTTACATGGTTAATACTTTTTAAAATTATCACCCTAACGGAGACATTGTTTTAGGTTTATCACAATAAGAGAGAACACTTTCTCTATATAACGTATATCATGCACAAATTAATGACACTGCAGACACAAAATATATAAACAGGGTTCATTATATTTACCTCTTTCTCATTTTTATTGCCATTCCCTATGAGCTCCATTGCGTGAGACCTACCAGAATTAGATGAAGGCATGCTCGTGTTGCTTTCTTCACTATTTTCCCTCAAGGTATGTAATTTGGCAGTTGGAGAAACTAATGGACCTTGCTTTGATTCTTGCATTTTAGGTGGTTCTGAAGTTCTATCAGATTTATTTTCCTCAATCCCATAAACATGTTCTGAGGCATCTAACTTTATTGGTGGGACAGAAGAAACTTTACCCCTTGTTTCATCCACTCCAAAACCCCAATTCCATGATTCTCCATAGCCACTGAAGAGGTCTATGAAACCATAAACAAAAGCAGAACTTCTATTTGAAGTTGCTATATCCTTGAAAAATAATTCTTCATTGCTTTCCATAGCTGAGTGCAAATTCTTCTATGAATGGTAATGCAAACTTATTACCATCAAGTTAAGAAGAAAAATAACATGTTTTTAAATAGATTATCAAATATACATGTTCTTAAAATAGATTATCATATATATGACAATTAATTCAAAAATAATGAAAATATATTAATCACACTTTTAGTAGCAATAAAGTAATTTTTTTCCCAGTATATACTGAAAACAAAAATTTTCAATATATTCTTTAGGCTAAAGTGCAACTTTAGTCCTTTAACTTTACACAAAATTTCATTTTGGTCTCTTGATTGTATAAGGTACCTTTTCAATCATTTAACCCTAACACTGATAGTTTCATCAACAAAACATTCCTACATTGAACTTTTAAATATTAACAAAATATTTTCAAAATGTTGAAATTTAAGTTTAATTTTTTAAAATAATAATAACTGGCACAAAAAATAATAATTTAAAACTAACAATGTTAGGGTTAGAGAACTAAACAAATTTTATAAAATTAAGGGATCAAACTAAAAACTTATATAAAGTTGAGGACCAAAAGTACACTTTAGCCAATCATTTAATGGTCAAAAATCTATTAAAAGGAATACTAACCAATTTCTTCACAGTAAGAAATTAGTGGTGCAATGAAAAGCCAAAAAAAATAGAAGATAAAGCTCACAGAGTCATTTAATTTGTCAGCTGGCTCAATACTAGACAGAAATTCTTGAGAAGCCTCCACCAAATTAAAGATCATTACTCTTCCCTCCCTGGCATTTAAATTAGCCTGAAAGGACAAGAATAAAAAAAATATAAATAAAAATATTGCTTTATACCAAATCAAATGACAGAAGAAATATAAGTGTACTCCTGTGTATGCAAGTCTATGGCAAGGCAAAAGGATAGAATGGACATAAAGGATTGTAGTAGCAATAAAAATTTATGAATCTAAACAGAAAAACACAACATTATAATTCCCTCAGAACTAAATCCGGGAAGTTCCACTTCAAAACCCATTGAAACTCCTTGTATGATACATGGCAAGAGCCTAAGAAAAACAAAATAATACTTAATTTGTTCTGTTAGAGAATGTCTTGATTTGCTATATCAGTATTATCCTTATAATTAAAATAGGAGTAACTGCAGGGATTAATACTGATTAGGAATTGATTTGTATTAATTAGGCAATTATGTATAAAGACTCCAACCAATATATACATACCCATCATTCTTGTGAATAAAACAAGAAGAATATGTTCTTTCTCTATGATTGTGGACATCATATCAAAGCAAAGAAGAACCCACTATTTTTCTTTCTGATTTGTGAAGTGGGAACACATTGGGGAGGGAGGTGGTTCATGAATCCAATATAACGTGATTTGTGTATGACGCTAATGCGCAGGAAGGAGATGAAGGAAGAACACTAAGAAGGAAGAGAGAGAAGGAAAGAGAGAAAGGGAAGAATGTAGAGAGAGAGATATATCAACTCAAAATCTTATTAACAAAGCCTAATTACAAACTAACCAAGACAAAACTATTTATAGTCAGTGTCATTAACAACCTCCCCCCTCTAACTACACTAACTATCTCATTTATTTAGAAATCACCTCAACCTATTAGTAATAAAACCAATCAAGTTTTGGCCTATGCAATTGAGATTGGGCCATTTAGTTTATATGTGGACCATAAAATCCATGCCAAGGATGTTTGGCCCTCACCCAAAGTCCGCATGCACAGGTAAATAAGAATAGGTAATGATGGTGGCCTATAAGATGAAAGATTGTTGCAACTAAAGATTCTCCTGCAACACATCTTTTCTAGCCATATACAAATGGTTTCCAAGTATATATATCTCTGTATTTCATAATTTCCTTGTTGCTTGGCCCTTATGAGATGAGTGCTTTGTTGTTCTGGTATTTCATCTCTGTCTTTGGATGCTAGTAAGGCTACTAGTTATTGAAGCTGTTATACTTTTCCTCCTTATATCTAGTTTGCCTCTCTTAGTCATCTATTTTCAAAGATGGTGATGGTTGAGGATAAAGTAACAGTGCTAATTGATGCTTTTCCAAGAATGGTCAAGATCATTGGCTATAAGCTCAATTAAACTACTTATCTAGATTGGAGCAAGAGAGCCAAAGATTATTTATAGAACATTGAGAAAGAGGACCATTTGACTAAAAACCCTCCTAAAGATGACACATGACAAGCTTGGATGAGGATGGTGCACTACTATTCCTATAAATTCAAAAATTAATATAGTGATATAATTAGCTTCATTAATCATTATGAATTTGTTAAATAATTAAATAGCCTATGGATTATCTACATTTTTTGTATTTAGGAAACTAGAATATTTCCAACATTTGTGATGTGTGCAAAGCCATTCATCATGCAAAGAATGATGAGACTCTTATGGCCTACTTCATAAACTTTAAAAGGACTTATGTGGAGTTGAACATGTTGATACCTATTCTAATTTGAAAGCTCAATAGGAAAAAATGGCAATTATGAGTTTTCTTATTAGTCATTTGTTCGAAACTAAATTTTCTAACCTATAGGAAACCTTTGCTAGTATGCTTCGCATAGAAAGTCTTCACCCCAGTTAACTTGATCAACTTGTTGATCATAATAGTACCTTAATAAGTTAAGGCCAAAACAAAGGAGGGGGAGCCAACATAAACAATCAAGAATCAAGAGTTGTATGCTACAATTATAAGGAACCAGGCCATCCAAAATGTACTTGTAAGAAGCTTTAGAATAAACAACAAAGAACTTGGCTGGCACATTTGTGTCTTCCACTGCAATAACTTCTAAAAGTATTATCACAGTTCATATTGATAAGTTTGCCTACTTCTAAATGAATCAAGAACCTTTGAATCTCTTAAACCCACCACTCCTTTTATTTCCATAAACAAATCAATTAGAAGATATTTTCACAAAAGTTCTTAATGGAGCTTGGGTTGATTATATTTATAACAAGTTGGATATCATTAATATCAATACTTCAACTTGAGAGGGAGTGTCAAAAAATATGTCTTGATTTGTAATATCAACATATATCCTTGCAATTATAACAAGAGTAATTATAAGGATTAATATTGATAAGGAATTGATTTTTATTAATTAGGCCTTTATATATAAAGGCCCATACCCATGGACATATACCTATCATTCTTGTGGATAAAACAAGAACATTTCTCCCACTTTAACTAATTACATGATCCCATCTATTCCATGTGTCACCTCCCTTATTTATATTAATAAAGGTATGGATCTATTAGATCACAAGATGGGAAAATGATTGAAGGAGTAATTAAGCTGTGATTAAGATTTAGGAAATATGGGGTGGTATTTTGGAAGATAAGAATATTTCTTAGATATGAATACTAAGATACAATTATCTATAGTATATGTTAAAATGTGTAGTTAAATAGTGTAAATTTATTTTATTTCTTTAATAGATAGATTAGTTAGTAGTTGGTGGTTAGAGGATAAAATAGCATTTATTGCTCAATGTTGATGTACTCTTATAAATAACACGGCTAACTTCTGTAAATGATGGTAGTGAAATAATAAAGGGTTTTTTCACCAAATTTGTCATGGTATCAAAGCCTATCTGAGGTTTAGAGTTCTTTTGAGGTTGAGTTCATTTTTTGCGTTAGGGTTTCAATTGTCTCTGTGCGCTAGGGTTCTAAGCAATCAGACCCACTGTTGCCGAAGATTATTTAGCTTACACACGCCAGACCACTGCCTCTACCTACCGTCGACTGGCCGAACCTAGAAATCTGATCGCCGTCCGCTACTGCACACGCCGCCTGAATGAATCTACCCAATGCTGCGTTTTAGGTGCATGAGAGCACGTCTAGGCTTTGTTTGGCCTCCAGTCACTTCCATTTTGCTCAGAATCTCCTTCTCTCCTTGTTTCAGTCATGTCTGATGAAAAAAACACATCTGACAGTACTGGGTCTTCCTTGTTTGGGGTTTCTCAGGAGCTGTCAAGTGTTTCGGTTGCTCATTGATTGACTGGAACCAACTTTCTAGCTTGGTCTCAGTATGTTCATACCTTTTTAAAGGGTCAAGAGAAGCTTAATGATTTACTTGGAACTAGTCCTAAGCCAGGAGAACCCAAGTTCGATGCTTGGGATGAAGCTGACTCAATGGTAATGTCTTGTCTGTGGCAATCTATGACTCCTAAAGTTAGTCGCATGTGCTTGTTTCTGTCCTCGGCTAAGGAGATTTAGGATGCGGTGCACCAGACTTACTCGAAGGCGAAGGATGCTGCCCAAATTTATGAGATATGGACTAAGATTTTCAATACCAAACAAGGCAGTAAATCTGCCACCGAATACTCTACTATTATGAAGAGTTTATGGCAAAAATTAAACCATTATCAGTGTATTACTTTGAAAGATCATGATGATGCAACTACCTTTAAACACTTTATTGAGAAGCAGAGAAGTTTTTAGTATCTTGCTGGGCCTAATTTAGAATTTAATCCTGTAAGAGTTCAAATTCTTGGTCTAGAAGATGTTCCCCCTCTCAATGAGACCATTGCCATTGTATTAGCAAAAGAAGGCCATCAAGGAGTGATGATGGAAACTCCATCTGTGGAAAGCACTACCCTGGTTTCAAGGAATGTTGCTTCTTATTCTGTGGAAAATGAGAAACAAGGGGACTCTTTTAAGAAAGAACCTATTCGATACTCTCATTGTAAGAAGCTGTGGCACACCAAAGAGAAGTGCTGGAAGCTGCATGGTAAGCCCCAAAATATAAAAAAAGGGCAAGCTCATGTAGCGACTGATTCTACTAAGGAGAATTCTAGTTACATTGACCTTAAGGGGGAGATTGAGAAACTAAGATCTATGCTAGAATCACTTGACAAGGCAACTACTTCTAGTTCTAGTACAAGTACCTGTTCTTTGGGGTTCTCAGGTATCTCCTTTCAGCCTTCATTTGTCTAATTTTCATCTGCATTTATTGCCTCAAAACAAGACTTTCTTCACTCTTGGATTGTGACTTCTAGAGCCTCAAACCATTTGACAAATTCCTCCAAGAATTTTGTATCTTATAGTCCATGTCCTAATACTAGGAAAATCATGTGGAGTGACGAGTCTGTAGCTACTGTGACTAGTCAAGGGGCTATTAGATTGAGTGATAGTCTTCTCCTAAAAAATGTCTTGCATGTTCCTAAACTGTGCACAAACCTTATCTCTGTGAAAAAACTTGTTACTAATTCTGATTGTTATGTCTTATTCTCTTCTCTCTCTTGTCTTTTTCAGGAGTGAGAGACAAAACAAACGATTAGGCTTGCTGAAGAAAGAGATGGACTTTATTTTTTTGATGAGCTTAGTGAATGTGGTAGGATTCAAAGCTTGATGGCTTCCTCCTCTTCTCAGTCAAAAAGAGTCGAGTCTAGAAAAGATTAGATTTAGCTTTATTATCATCGTTTGGGTCACCCTTCGTTTAATGTTTTGAAAACTATGTTTCCTTCTTGGTTCAAAGATGTACCTGTTGAATCCTTTCATTGTGATGTTTGCAAGTTTGCAAAACATCAACAATCTTCACATCCTATGAGTAATAAAAAAACTTCTGTTCCTTTTAGCCTGATTCATAGTGATCTTTGAGGTCCCTCTAGTGTCTCTAATGTTACCGAGTCTCGATGGTTTGTATCCTTTATTGATGATTGCACTCTTGTAACATGAATTTATTTGCTAAAACAAAAATTTGATGTTAGTACTATTTTTCCTACTTTTTAACAAGATTAAAACTCAATTTGGAGTTGGAATA